CGCGCGCCCCCTGGCGGCCGGCGAGCGCCCCGCGGGCTCCGGCGCCTGTGCCCCTGCGCCCCGCCCGCCGCCCGCCCAGCCTGCAGCCGCCGGAGCTGCTGTCTCCCTCCGCGCCCGCCGCCCGTCGCCCGCCGCCGCCGCCAGGGCCATGTCCCGGCTCAGCTGGGGGTACGCCGAGCACAACGGTGAGCGCGCCCCGCGAGGGGCCGGGGAGGCTGGCCGGGGTCCGCCGAGCGCGCGGGACCCCTGGACGGAGCCGCCTGGGAGCCGCGCGCGGGAGGCAGCCTCGTGCGCCCCGGGGAAGGCCCCCAGACCCCACCCGTCGCGGCCCCCCGCGCGCCCTGCCCTTCGGGAGCGGGAGCGGGGAACCGGCCCTGGTGGCAGCACCTCTCAGTTCAGGGCGGGCTGAGGGCGCGCTTTTAGTGAGTTGAGGACAAACTTCCCTTTCGGTGCTTGAAGCTCCTCGTTCGCTCAGGGGAAGCCAGTCGTGGAAAAGACTTGCAACTGTGTCTAAGAAGTTTGCATCGCTTGAGCTGCAGCCCTGAAAATCCAGGGCGCCTTCCGGGCGACCCAAAGGCTGCGGCTCCCTTCCCAATGCTGGGATGTCCCCGCGGCTAAGCTGGCGCTGCAGAGGCTTCAGCTGCTTTGCTGCAACGTGAAGGCGGACTTGGGGCCCCTCGCCACGCTTTCTGCCTCTCCTTCCACGCTCGTCCGTGCAGACACGGGCGATTAGCCAAGGATGACCGGGTTATATAGCAAGTTGCCAAAATGTATATACCGATGGGAGCAACAGTAATAAGATGCATAGTTTCCTTCTTGTGTATTCTAAGTTATCCAAAGCAAACCATTCTCTTGGTTTTCTTTTTCTTTTTTCTTTCTTTCTTTCTTTCTTTTTTTTTTTGCATTAAGCTGAACTTATTTCAAATACTGATTATTTGCACTAATTGCAGTGGCGCCCAGAAAGCCTATTTATAGTGAATCGCAGCCAAAATTAAATCTGGGAATAATGATGGTGGTGATGATAATTTTGGGGTTAACATGTATATTATTGAACAGTACTGTCAAATTTTATAGAGAGTTTACTTTCACAAAGAAACGGAAAAGTTTCATTTCCAATTTGTAGCCCTTTGAGGTTACGGCTAAGTTACCAGTTTAAAAGGGGGAGCGGGTAAAATTTAGAACTGGAGTCATGAAAGGTATAATTTAGGTGGGTTGATTTTTGACTGAGTACATTTTGCTAATTTCCAACATAAATTTCTTTCAGTTTCTTTCTCTGCTGGAATAATGTTCATTATTGTTAATTAATAGTTACTGCGTGCCAATACCTATGGTTAGGAAGGAGGGTGTTTCCGATTCATGAGTATTGATTCTTCTTTAATGTGTTAGAAACCATCAAAGCTCATCTTCAGAAATTTAAAAAATCCATCTCAGGGAAGCAAGCCATTAATGAGGCGTGATTTCGCAGTTCTTCGAAGAATTGTGAGGCCATTCCCTCCCTGCTTTCAGAAGCAATTATTACATCTTGAGGACCACACCTTACGTGGATCAACTGTGGCAAAATCCCGTTGGAGATGTGTCCCCCCTGGGCCGGCCACTCTGTTGCTTGTCTTCTGTTTCGACTGCCAAAAGCTGCGAATGAGCAGATAAGAGGCCTTGGAAGGGGGTACCGCCTTCACAAACAACGTATAACTGCTTCCGCTGACCTTTGGTAATTTTATGGTTTTAGTTTAGAGAATGAGGCAAAAACTGAACACTGCATATCACTGGGCATTCAAAAGTTCTTGAAGCAGTGGAGGAAACGCCATCTATCTCTATTTAGGAACTGTGTTTAAATGGGTTTAAAGTTGGATGTTTTAGAAAATGTAAAAGTGTGTGTGTGTGTGTGTGTGTGTGTGNCAGACGAATGACGACATGTCTCCACCATTATGGCATCACACAGAGTCGGCTCACTGCCCTAAACGTCCTCTGTGCCCCCCCTGCTCATCCCCCCTCTGACCCCCAACCCCTGGCAACCACCGATCTCTGTCCTGTCTCCACAGTTCTGCCTTTTCCAGAACGTCACAGAGTTGGAACCACACAGCGTGTAGCCTGTTCAGATTGGCTTCTCTCATTCAGTCACATGCATCTAAGGTCCCTCCATGTCTTTTCATGGCTTGATGGCCGTTTCTGTTTGGTGCTGAATGACATGCCACTGTCTGGATGGACCACAGTTTATTTATCCATCACCTACTGAAGGGCATCTTGGTTGCTTCCAAGATTTGGCATTTATGAATAAGCTGCTGTCACCATTGGTGGGAAGATTTTTGTGTGGACATAAGTTCTCTACACCTTTGGGTAGATGCCAAGGAGTGTGATTGCTGGATCGTACGGTAAGAGTGTGCTTAGTTTTGTAACAAACCACCCAGCTGTCCTCCAAGGCGGCTGCACCATCTGCGTTCCCACCAGCTGTGAGTGGGCGTTCCTGTGGCTCCACGTCCTCCCAGCATTTGGTGGGGTCCGTGTTCTGGATTTTGTCCACTCTAACAGGTGTGCAGTGGAGTCTCGTCGTTGTTTCAGTTTGCATGTCCCTGATAACGTGATGCTGAGCATGTCTTCATGTGCTTATTTGCCATCTGTATCTCTTCTTTGGCGGTGTGTCTGTGAAGCTCTTTGGGCCATTTTTTATAATCAGGTTGTTTGTTTTCTTACTGAGTTTTAAGAGGGTTTTTTTGCATATTTTGGATAACAGTCCTTCATTATATGTGTGTATTTAAATATAAATATATACTTGTATGTACATTGTCTCCTGTGATGAAAGTGAATACAGATCAGACCTTATTCTTAAAAGTTTCGTTCCTACTGTATTGGCACAAACCAGCCCAAATGTTCTAGAGAATGCGGATGAAGGAGGCGGGGCCTTTCCCTGAGATGCAAGAGCTTCAAGTGCATTGTGCTTAGTGCCGGAGGAAGCCTTTTCTGTGCGGGGTCCCACCCTCATTAAGAACTGCAGAAGAATTTGCACTAAGGGGTTTTCAGGCCAGATCTAAAGACGAGTTCAAGCTGAGCCTCACGTAAGTGGTCCCTAAACAACGGGACTTGCAGTGACCACGTTCTGTGCCGCTGTGCAGATGGCCAGAGACGCTGAGTGACCACAGTGACGTGGCCACTGTTCCTTCTTCAACGGATGGTTCCTGACCATTCAAGAAGCTCTGTGCATTGTTTTGTCCATAAACAGCGCTGCGCAGCTCCATTTGAAATTTCAGATGGACCCAAATGAAAGCCTTGGGCAGCTGGGACAGTCACGACACTCCCGGCGGGTCGCACCCCTCTCTGTTTCACGGGGAGCCTAGCACACCCACTCCTGCAGGACGGCAAGTGAAGGCCACGCGGCGCGTCCACCTCCAGTCCACGGGCAGCGAGCCCCGCGAGCCCCCGGGAGAAGAGGCCTGCGCGCCCTCCTCCCCGCGGGGCGCAAAGGGCGGCAGAACTCGGGGACCACGGGTCAGTACCCGGGCGTGGTCCCCTCACTGCGGAGCCACAGCCTGCAGAGCGTGACAAAGCGAGCGGGACGGGCGACCTCTGCGCGACGTGGGGCGGCCGCTCAGCATCTCCTGCCGCGCCTTCCACCTCTGCGCACGTGGGG